GAATGAGAAAGAATGAGAAAGGAGGGACTGAATATAGAACCAGCCTTGATGTTCCTCATCAAGAAAAGAGTAAGGGAGGCATTTTAAAAGCTGGTTGAAGCAGCTGAATGTGGGAGATGCTAGAGCCAAGCACAGGAGCATCCAGATTTCCTGCCAGAAGGGAGATCCCTAATTAGATTGGGGTGTCTGGTGTTTGCATTGTAAGAACCCAGACCAATGCGTTCTGTCAGGTCTGCTAGAGAATTTAAAAATACCCTTCAGGAGCCATGACAGTTGCAGAGAAAAGCGTCAATAGATGTTTAGCTCTAGTATGTTGGAGAATAGAAACCTTTAGAAATTGAAATAAAAAAGGAAATAATGTGTTTTTAAAGGCTACACTGCACATCAAGCAAATGAGGCTATGGGCACTTAGCCTCCCATAGATCATTATTTGTGAGTTTAAATGCATGGTTTCCCCATGTCTCTATTTTTAAGTCAAATTACTGAGATTCCAGCGGTGCCCTGCCTGTTGAGGAGTCCTTTACTCGCTGATAATCACCTTGCAGGTGAGTGTCTGAACAACTGCGGTATTTTAAACCCTGCTTTTCCTGCTAGATCATCCTGGAAAACAGACCGCTCGAAACAGCAGATCAAAGACTTAAACCATGAAGAAGATCCTCTCCCACTTATTGAGGAGGTGCTAGGAGCCCAGGAGCACACAGCAAGTGAGATGCCTAGCCTGGAAGAGGCAGAAAAGGAGGCAGTCTCTAGTGAGAGCTGTGACACCGACAAGAAGGTGGAGGAGAGCAACCCTGCCACGAGGCAGCCCTGCACTCCGGAGGAGAGGCGGCACCTTCAGCGAGAGAGACTTAATCAAATCCTGCTAAACCTCTTAGAGAAAATCCCAGGGAAAAATGGTGAGATTGTCATGTTACGGTTGCACAATAGGGTTCCTTTGATTTTAGCTTGTTGCAGACAGACCACGCTGATAAAATAAAGTTTTGCCTGCATGCATTGATAGTGAACATTATTAATAACTATTTTGCACTCATGTTTGCTTTTGCCACAGCTGCAATTTGCATTAAATTGGAGCAAAATTTATTAGAGGCAAGGAAAGACAGTTCAGGTAATGGGTGTGATGAAAACCTACAGGGAGCTGCATTCTGGCCAGTCCTTCGCACTGCTGCCTCCTATTGATGCAAAACAGTTGTGGATTCTTAGAATAATTCAGTTTGGAAGGATCTTTGGAAGTCATCTGCTCCCAAGATCTAAGCAGGGGCGATTTAGGTTGCCCAAGACCTTGCTGAGTTTGGGGTGTTGCTGTGCTTGGACTCATCCTTGCAAGCGTGGAAGTGTCTCCCGCGGTCACAAGTCTGTGCTCTGTTGCAGCTATCGATGTCACGTACCTGCTGGAGGAGGGCTCGGGACGGAAGCTGAGGAGACGCACTCTGAGCATCCCGGAGAGCAGCTTCAGGAAGTGACGGCACCAGGAGCGCCCGTGGGCCGGGGCCGCGCGGGTCTGCCGGGGACGGGGGCAGGAGCCCGTCCCGCGCGGCGGCCGGAGGACGCTGACAAATAGACAAACAGTAGCACTTAGGTGTCCGGGCGGCAGGGCCCTGCCCCGCTCGGCAGTGCTCTTTGCTGTGTGTGTTGTTGGGCGTGCCTTGTATTGATGTTAGGTACTGAGAAAAACCTCGTGGTTATTTGTCCAGGATGGTCAAATTTAATTTATTTTTGCTCCCACTCAGAGGAAAAAAAAAAAAACAAAGGGGAGGTTAAGAAGGATGCAAGGAGCGACTCTCTGCAGTGAGGATGTTCCCAGTTCGGCAGCACAAGCGGTGATTGTACGAGATGCTGCAGCAGCGCCGCGGAGCAAAACCCGCAGCGCGAGGGATGGAGGGCCCTGGGCTGGGCCAAAAACGAGCGGCCGCCCCCAAAAGTCGCGGCCTCCGATTTGCACAAGTTGGAAGAAGAGAGGAAGGGCGCGGGAGGAAGGCTGCCCGCGCGCGGTGGCACTTGTTGGGCATCGAGGACAGCGGGGGCAGCGGGGGGGTCGGGGTGTGATTTATTTCATTTCGTTCTTTTCTTTTCCACTTCTTTTTTTTCTGCAGACAACTTTTATAAAAAGCGAGTCAGATCCTGACAACACCATTGCTGTTGGTTTTTTTGATAAGCTGTGGTTCTCGTGCGTCTAGTGTGTCGTGCAAATGAAAAAAACCTGTTAAAAGGAAAAAAAAGAAAAAAAAAAGAAAAAAAAAAGGAAAACCTTCACTACATGAACCGTCAAGCAGTATTCAAAGCGAGTATTTGTTGTGACCTGTAGAATATATGGAGCGCTGACACTATCCTCGTGTTCTGGTTGTACAGCTGAAAACGTCGTCTCTTAAAGAGACAGTGTGTCCTGCCCTCCCCAAGCCCTGTCCCCTTGGAAGCGTCATCCCCAAAAGCCGCTTCCCGGCGGCGGCCGGAGCAAAAAAAAGAGATGCGGAGCCAGGATGCCGGGATGCGGAGCGGCAGGGAGCGGGCAGCGCACTGCCCCTTTAGACTGGCTTGGCTTTTTGTCTTTACATATGCATATAGAGTCCTGTTCTAGGTGTTCTTCTAAGGAAACAAAAAGACAAAAAAATACGAGTTTTTAATGTGCCAAGTTGTATATATATCTGCTGCGTGGATGTAAAGCAATACAGTAGTTACATGTTCCTTTTTAATGGACCAAGCTTGTCCTAATGTACATTCTTGTTATTATTATAATTATTTTACTCTTAGTGGAACATGACTCATTCCATTAACTTTTACGTGTTGATTTAAAAAAGGACAAAAAAAAAAAGAAAGGAAAAAAAAAACCCTTTGAGAAAAAATATTTTATTAAAAAAAAAAGAAATAAGAAAATAGTTTGGAATATTTTCTTACTGTAGAAAAGCACTGTACAGTACCAGGAACCCTGAGTATAAAATACTCGTGCGTGTAGTAGGAATATCGCATGTCCAAAAAGAATCTTGAGTTGTCTCATTTAGTTTAAAACAGAAATCATTGTCTCAAAAATGGTGTTAAACACTAAAAACTTTTTAAAAGGAAAAAAAAATAAAGTGCGTACAGAAGCGAGACACTAGCTCTGTCATTTTATCTTTCTTTTGTTGAAAGACTAAAACAAAATGTTTTTTAGACAATCAAATGTTAGGTAAGTGCAAAGAATTGTTTTTTCTTACTGGTGTAGAAATTAATGACTTTTTTTATTTTTTCGGTTATTTTATAATAATGAGAAGACCGGTGTGTCACCAGGATCGCTGTTTTAAGACCAGGAAGCACTACATTATTGCAAATAGATATGAACTCTTAGTCTGCATGGGTGTAGGCTGTGTGATTGCTGAAAATAAATGCTGCTAATATATTTCCTTTTTACAAAGCATATCTAAATAGATCATTGTTTTGATGTTAATCTTTGTAAATTATGTATTACCAATTTTAACATTGGATGTAATTGCATAAAAAAAAGAAAAAAAACACACACAAAAAAGCCTGCATCTCAATCCTGAGAGTCTAGTATTAAATGGAAAGTCTTTTCCTAGCGCTGCCGTGTGGGGTTTTCTTTGGCCCGGCCGCGGCCCCCCCTGCTCCGTGGCCCTGGAATGGTGCAGGAAGGTTCAATGGGGAGCTCGGGCCCCAGGTTCCTCAGGGTTTCCCCGTTTTCCTCAGGGTGGCCCCGTTTTCCGCAGAGTTTTCTCGTTTTCCGCAGAGTTTCTGCATTTTCCACAGAGTTTCCCCGTTTTCTGCAGGGTTCCCCCGTTCCCCTCAGGGTTCCCCCATTTTCCGCAGGGTGGCCCCGTTTTCTGCAGGCTTTCCCTGTTTTCCACAGAGTTTCCCCATTTTCCTCAGGGTTCCCCCATTTTTCTCAGGGTTCCCCCGTTCCCCTCAGGGTTCCCCCATTTTCCGCAGGGTGGCCCCGTTTTCTGCAGGCTTTCCCTGTTTTCCACAGAGTTTCCCCATTTTCCTCAGGGTTCCCCCATTTTTCTCAGGGTTCCCCCGTTCCCCTCAGGGTTCCCCCGTTCCCCGCAGGGTTTCCCCGTTCCCCTCAGGGTTTCCCCGTTCCCCTCAGGGTTCCCCCATTTTCCTCAGGGTGACCCCGTTTTCCGCAGGGTTCCCCCATTCCCCACAGGGTTCCCCCATTCCCTGCAGGGTTCCCCCATTTTTCTCAGGGTTTCCCCGTTCCCCTCAGGGTTCCCCCATTTTCCTCAGGGTGACCCCGTTTTCCGCAGGGTTCCCCCATTCCCCACAGGGTTCCCCCATTCCCTGCAGGGTTCCCCCATTTTTCTCAGGGTTTCCCCGTTCCCCTCAGGGTTCCCCCATTTTCCTCAGGGTGACCCCGTGGGCAAGCGGGGCTGCCGCAGAGCGGAACGCGGCGCCACAGCCCCGGAATGAGGCCATTTCAGAGGGTTTTGGTCACAAACGCGGCCAGGCTCTGGAGCTGACCCAAGACCAGCTGCTCTTGGCTCTCTCCGGTCCTGAAATCCAGACGAGGCCACTTAGCCGGCCAGGAATCCCTCGTGGCGGGATGGATCTGCAGCGATCCCGGTGCACGTGAGTCACAACCTTTATTCCCAGCTTTTCCCTCCCCCCGGAATCAGCCCGTCGGGTCGGTGGGGGCTATGTACAGAGCGGGGGGCAGCGCCGGTGCGGAGCGGCGCCGCGCTCCTCACAGCACCAGCGACGTGTAGCCCACGGGCACCAGCCCCGTGGCGCCCGCGCGGCCGCAGCGGATCCAGTCCTCGTCCACGGTGCAGAGCAGCTGCAGGACGTCGCCCTTGCGGAAGCTCAGCTGGCCGGCGCCGGCGCCCGCGTGGTCGCACAGCGCCCGCAC